AATTATTCTGGATTTGAATTCATTTCCCACCAGTTTGGCAGACACTTAATAGGGAGGTATCCTTGTGGTGGTTTGAAACTACCACGAATCTAATTTTTAAGTTCAAGCCCCCCTCCCACAGTTTGCCCCTGTGAGAGGGTTTAGTGATGGTATGGACTTGATATCTTTTTCACCTCATGTGGAGAGTTTTCAGACAAAACACAACCATTCGTTATTGGGGGAAGGGGAAAATATTTACAAAGGTTTATTTACACCCACATATATATTACATTAAATTAAATTTCTCCTTTTCTTCAATAAAAGTCCAAGAAGAAAAGAGAAGAGTCTTTCTGTCACTCCTCAGGCCACAGTTCCTTACTTTCATTTTTTTGTGGCACTGGTTAGTGTCCTTCATTTTCCTGAGGCGGCAGATTGAAGTATGGCAGTCAGGATTTTTGTTCTTACTTTGTGGAAATTCCAACCCCGAGCCCGAGCCTTCGGGGGATTTCCTTGTAGATCTTCACTCCCTTGGGTTAGAACATTGAAGGCAGCTTTCAGTTCAGTCTTACCAAAGCTCTTCTGCTCTGTCTCAGCTCGCCAGCATGATAGAAGCAGCAGCAGCAGAGGGCACGGCCACCTCCTCCGCATTCCGTCCTGGCTCAGCTCTCAGGACGACTCTGGGTTTTTTAGCTCCTTTCTCTCTCTCTCTCGCTGCTGCTGCATTTCGGGACTCCCTGAGGGTTTGGAAGTCCACCCCTCCTCTTCAGGAAGTCTCTGGGTTTTGGGAAAGCAATACAGTCTTACCCCAAACCAGCTCTGTTGAGTTTTCCTCTGTTTTGTTGCCGGCTCTCCCTCCTGCAGGAACATCTCTGCGTCTTTCAGCCGGCTTCACGTTATCTCGCTGCTACTGGCTATCTTTTTGGCTTTTAGCCATCGCTGTCTCTGTTCAGGACTGCTCCGCTGCCGCTTTTCAATGTCTTCTGCTGCTGCTGACAGTAAGGAAACTCTTCCAGCTCTTGATTACGGGCGGGACCCGGTCCAGCTTTGACACTATACCGGGTCTCCCGTAGCCTCAGCTGGGGGCTGGGGGCCCTTGGCCCCCAGAGGGGCTCACTGGCCCCCTGCCTCCTCCTGGCTCAGATCATGGCTACCTACCTTCTAAACTATCTTCACCACCTTCTCTTCCGTTTCTGGGGGTATGTAATTTCCGTAGGGCGCACATGGACTATCGATTGGTCCAGTGTTATCAGTGGGGCAAACCATTACTACCTCAGAGAAAAGGTTTTTCAAACCACCACAATCCTTGATTCAAAGATGCAGGAAGGTTGTGAACCTGCCGCCTGTCTTGGTACTGGTTTCACTGGTTGGCCTCCAGCTGACTTACACAGGGGTGCATTTGGGTCCCTCTTCCAGCCTTTAAATTCCCCTTGTCCTTCTTTTCACTACATTAGAGCCCTTCAAGATACTATTTTCTCTTTGTGAAGGTCCTTCAGCTTTGTACCAGGTCATCTTGTGCTGAGCCCTTCAAACCTCCTTGATTTCAGCCCTTTTTCTGCACCTTAAATGGTCACTGAGTTCTCCTCTGGGCCACCCTGTTTTACAGACAGCCCTGTGCAGGTTGTGTTGGCGGTCACTGCACCAACTATCCCAGCCCACAGCCGAGTTGCCTTTACGTGCAATTGCCTGTTATACACATGAGGAGCTCTCAGGCTGTTCTTGCTGCCGTGTTCCATGCTGGGGGTTTGTTTCCGTGTCTCTGTGCTGCATTCCCCAGCTCTCCTCAGAGCTGCTGTTTTCTGTGTGTTTCTCTGTGTGTTTTTCCAGCCCCTCGCTTGCTTTCTGGACTCGTGTCCAGAGCAGAAGAACTTAAATTTGTATGGGCGCTTTGCTCATGGCCATGCCAGGACCCTGCTCCCCAGGCGGATCTGTCTTTAGACCTTCCCTGGCCACCAGAGCTCTCCACCAGGTGCTGCTGGTTGTCAGCGGCTCCTGCTGAACCGGTGGCTGCTGCCTAACGCTCTCCTGCCTCTCCCTCCTCTGCAGGTGTATCCGTGACATCCAGTAATACAGGCGTGCCGGACATCTCGGGCTCTGTCTACTCCAAAACTCAGGTTAGTGTCTGTGAGTGCTCCCTGCGTGGCTCCGGAGGGGAACTGAGCTCTGAGACAGCCTCCCTGTGCAATAAAGGTCTCTTCCCCTTGGATTGGTCAGCCAGGGAGAAGGGAAATGCTTGACCTTCCCCAGTTTAGAGCAATTCTAAGCCCAGAAAGAGCCATAGGAAGAGACTCTATCCATTCTCTGCATCACACACTGACTCTGGGCCCACGACGTGTAGAGCTGGGGAGGGGCACGCTGCCAGCCTGGCTCCCAGCCCTTACTCCACTGTTGGCATCCTCTCTTCAGCAATCCTTCGAGAAGCAGGGATTTCACACTGGAACCCCGGCAGCCTCCTTCAACCTGCCTTCGGCACTGGGCAGTGGTGGACCCATCAACCCTGCGACGGCGGCGGCGTATCCCCCCACCCCCTTCATGCACATCCTGACCCCGCATCAGCAGCCGCACTCGCAGATCCTCCACCACCACCTGCAGCAGGACGGGCAGGTGAGCGATGCCCCCGGCGCTCCAGCCCCTCGCTGGGGTATCCCCTAGGGCTCTTCCTCCCCCTCCAGCCTCTGCCCCCCCCCCTCCATGTCCTGCAGCGGACACAGGCGGTGACACACACACACACTCACACCTGCACATACACACAGAGAGGTGAGAGGATGAGGTGAGGACACACCCGGGGTGTGCTCTGCTGGGGGGGTACTTGGCACCACCCCCCATGCTGCCAGGCTGCACTAGGAATGGCCAGGTAGTGCCCCCTCACGCAGACACACCCGGGGCGTCCCGATCTCCCCCGTCCTCAGAGGGGAGCCCCACAGGCCAAGCAGCAAAGGGGTCACTTGCCACAGCCACGACCCTGCCGGAGCTTTCAGGTCTAACCGTGGATTTCTACTGTCATAGTTTGTCCCTTTATTTTACATATCCTGGTACTGCAACAGCTTCCATATTTGCAGATGATACTGTGCTGCCAACGCCAGCAGGAAGATCAGGTAATGAACTCTCTGATAATGCATTGCACTTGCCCTGGGGTCTCCCCCTGCCCCTAAGGCTGCCCAGGCTCAAGTAGCCTCTTCCTTCTCCCCCGTGGCCGCACAAGGTGAGGACAGAGGCCCTCAGTCGGTATGTGCACACACACACACACCCCCACGTGCAGACACACACGTTCCTGCGCTGACCCTTCCCTGCTCCCTGCTGCCCCTGGCCCAGTGTGCTGCTGCCCTGGAGGAAGGCATGGAGCAGAGGGAGGGTGCTGGGGCTGCCGGGGCACAAACAAGACAGCCCCAGTGCCCCAGCACTGGGAGCTCGGCTGGGCGGAGGCGGAGCAGCGGACGCCGAGGAGCCGCCGTGGCCGCAGTGCCTGGCAGGGCTGAGGCATCGTCCTGCAGAGTGGGCTGGGGCCGGTTCCCCCCCACACTCACCACCCGCTTCTCCTTCTGCCCCTTCCTGCAGAGTGGCTCCGGGCAGCGCAGCCAAGGCAGCTCCATCCCCCAGAAATCCCAGGCCAACAAATCTGCCTACAACAGCTACAGCTGGGGTGCCAACTGAGGCCGGGCCCCCCCACCACCACTTTGCTTCCGGAAGAGAATCCCAGCTACCCCGATGATGCTGAAGGATCCCAGGGAGGAGAGAGCCCTGTGGTGGGGAGCGCCCAGGCCCCCAACCCCGGCAGGGCCCCGCAGGGCAGGCCGCAGGCGCCTCTGCGTTGTCTGTCTTCAGCCACTTTCCTGTTGTATGTAATATAGAATTTGTATTTTTTCTTTTTTTTTTCCTTTTTTTTTCTCTCTGCATTCAGATCTGAACCGTTTGCCGTAGGGGCCTTTTTTGGTTTTTACTCCTTTCTGTCCCCTCTCCCCTCCTGCTGCCCCAGAACCTCTCAGATCCAAAGGAGTGGAAGCTGCGAGTCGCCTACAGCAAACCCCCTTATTATTAGGAATAAGACCAGTAATTGATATGAGCAGCATTGTAAGATTAATTAGTTGAAGTGTTTTTTTTGTACCGTGTTCTAAATTTAATGGATAAATGTGTCTTGTATATAAAAACAAAAACCCCATGCCGTCCTCTAGTTCTCTCATTTCCTCCCCCCTCCACTGCTGTCTGACAGAGCCCCCCCCCCGTATTTTACATTCTCCATCTGCGCGCCCCCCCCTCCTCACAGGCCCTGAGTGCAGGTCCTGCTCCCCTTGCACGCTGTAAGTATCTTCTGCTTTTGGGTTGGGTTTTTTTCTTTTTTTTTTTTTTTTCTATGCAGTCCAGATCTTGTATTTTTCGGTTCCACCTGGTCCCTTCAGCTGCAGTCCCAAGCAGGGATTTACTGAAGAGAATAAAGATCACAAAGTGATGTGTGTATTTTTTCCACCTTTCAGCCTGGTTCCCTATTTTTGGTGCAGGGGGTGGGAGGCCCTGGATGGGCGGGGGTGGCAACGCTTCCCCTACTTCTCCCCACCGTCTTGCTGGTTTGTGGGGTTTTTTTGTCCCCTCGTTTTGTGGATTTTTTTCCCGGCTGCAGCTCTGGGCAGCAGCAGGATGCCAGCATAGGGACAAGGTCAGAGTCCTTCTCCCCGAGATTCCCACCTTCCACTTTTTCCCTTCCACTGCTCTTCCCGGAGCTTGGGGGCTCCACCCCAGCCCCCACGTCCCCAGGAGGGGCTCGGGACAGGCTCGGCTGTCACGGAGGGGAGTCTCGGGCGCTGGGGAGGGCAGTGGGACCGCGAGGGTGGCAGGAAGGCCCGGGTGTCCCGGCAGTGGCTGCTGAGCTGCATGGTTAAGGGGCCGAGGGCTCGGAGGGGGAAGGGGGGGCGAGGCAAAGCCGGAGCTCCCCGTGCTGTGGGTCCTAGTGGGGCAGCAGGAGGGCATCGGGCTGGGCCAGCGGAGCTCAGCTGGGGGCACAGCGCAGGGCCGCAGGACGCCAGGGGTGCAGGATGGAAGCCCCGCTGCCCCCGGGCCCGGCCGGGGAGACACGGGACCAGCCCCGCAAAGCGCCTCACGACACCCGGCGGCACTTTGCGGCCGCGGCGCTTTGCGGCCGCGCGACCCCGGGCCGGGCCCCGAGGAGGGCCCCGGGAGCGGGAATGAGCTCTACGCGCCTTTCGCGGCTTCTTCGGGTTCCCGGGGCGGCGCAGGTACCGCAAGCTCGCCCGGCCCTGCCCGCACAGCCCCCGTCCCGGTGTCTCAGTGCCGCGCTCCCGCAGGCCCCGGGACCCGCTGTTCGGCGGCGCGGCGTGGGACGAGGAGGAGGAGGATGACGGCCCGTGCCTGGCGCAGCCCCCACAGGACTTCGGCTTCGGATTCAGTCCCGACGCGTCGCACGGAACCTTCGAGGAGCTGTTCCGGGACATGGGCGAGCTCCTGGGGGCCCTC